TATATATATATATATATATATATATATATATATATATATATATATATATATATACGCGGATGTGTTCTCTCGCGTTATTAATTACACCCCGGAAGATTCAATTAGTGCGTTTCTCATTACACTCACTTATATACCGGTATCCATTATTCACAGAGAATATTCCCTTGGCAGCCAGCGAGTCTCTCATTTGGTACGTGTAGATAGATAGATAGATATTGGCCTCGGGCAACAATGCCTCAGTCACTTAAGCTCAGAACTGAGAAATTCATAATCACACAACACCCGGAAAAATATAATAAAGAATCCCAAGGGATATATATAATAATAAAAAATAATTATAAATAATCTTTAAAGCTATTACCAATTACAAGGCAAAAAAATGATTGATCATTCCTTACCTGGATTGTTGTCAGCATTAGAACTAAATAGCACACAGAGTCCGGTTTCATAATTGACCGCCTGGCAGGAGTCGTTCGCCTGACAGGTTTCCAAGCAATCAGTGAGCATAAGTATACCGGGTATCGATTCTAGCATGTTGGTGGGCGCAGTATAAACGTATCCGGTGACAAGCTCGAAGCCAACCATCTCAGAATCGCACTCATCTGAGCCAGCTGATGGTCCGGTGTAATCAGGTCCTGATACGCCTGATGGCTCCGAGACTGCTGGTGGCGTTGATGTCAATGGAATCTGGGAAGACGCGGTCTCACCCAGAGCCAGCAGGGCCCAAACTTGGACCACTGTCGCTAGAATTGTTCTCCAGTGATGAGTAGTCATTGCAAATCGAGTTATCTCGCTTCAAAGGAACCTGCCAACAAACAAAAGTACATAGCAGATAAACGAGGTGTAAGCATTAAACTTGACGTTCGTTTCTAGTCTCTGCTTTAGCGCTGCCGGTTTTTATACCAAAGCTCGCTGTATATATTCATGGGCTTGTGTAAATATTTAGTTTGTTCACTTAAAAGAAAAGCATGTACTCCTTTTTACAGCAGCGCTAAACCATCTGACGTTGGTTGAGATTAAACTTAACAATTTTTTTAGCTCACACAACATCCACGTCCCAATCCCTTTTTCTCCTATCTCTTTTCTATTCTCGGTTCTTGCCTTTGTACCCTTCTAACTCTAACTCTGGCTGGTGCTGAGTGTACACATCGTTATCTTGACACTCGGAAACGCGGAAAGACGTGGCTAGTTAAATATATGCGGGGCCGTTCCTCTCTCTATCTTTCAGGCTTTATACTTGGTTAGTTTATAAACACCAATTGAGATGATGAAAAAGGAGTCGAAATTTTAATCGTAGGTTCAATGGATTGGATGGAAAAATATAGATTCAAAATTTTCAAAAAAGAATAAATTCAACTGTTTTGAAAAAAAATATATGATCCATAGTCAAAATCAAAAGTTACTAAGATCGGTATTCTCATACTTAAAATTATCTTTCTAGTTGATCATTTGGCGGCTGATAGACTCTTTTTAAAAGAAAAATCAGCTTGATAGCTTCTAAGGCCAAATTTTCTAGCTGTGAAAGTACCCAAAGATACTCCAAGTACCACTGGTTCTTAATTAAACACTTGGTAGTCTTCTTAAACAGCCATATACCGTCGAAAAAAAAACATTTTGGAAACCATTCCACAAGTTCAAAATTCGGACTAAGTATTTTTATCGGATGGTAGAATTTAAACCAAAAAACTGAAATTCTGTCTAGCAGAATTGAAAAAACATTTTTTATCGTACTTCCGTTTAACAGCATGTACCTAAGTCGAAATTTAAGTCGTAGATTCAATGTATTGAACGTAAAAAACGTTAGTTGAACGTAACAAACGTTCAAATTGTAAACTCATCGTTTTGAACGTTTAAAACGTCAGTTGAATGTATTGGGCGTAAAAAATATAGATTCGACATTTTCATAAAAGAATAAATTCAACTGTTTTAAAAAAAATATATGATCCATAGTAAAAATCAAAAGTTACTAAGATCGTTATTCACATACTCAAAATTATCTTTCTAGTTGATCATTTGGCGGCTGATAGACTCTTTTTAAAAGAAAAATCAGCTTGATAGCTTCTAAGGCCAAATTTTCTAGCTGTGAAAGTACCCAAAGATACTCCAAGTACCACTGGTTCTTAATTAAACACTTGGTAGTCTTCTTAAACAGCCATATACCTTCGAAAAAAAACATTTTGGAAACCATTCCACAAGTTAAAAATTCGGACTAAGTATTTTTATCGGATGGTAGAATTTAAACCAAAAAACTGAAATTCTGCCTAGCAGAATTGAAAAAACATTATCTTACTTCCGTTTAAAAGCACATAGTTATTTGAATAGTTTTGATATTACTTATTTTCACTCTTCATAGGCTTGAATTGATTCAACTAACGTTTTTGACGTTTTTAACGTCCAATACATTGAATCTACGATTTAAATTTTACCTCTGGAAGATAGCAAAGAAATTGCGATTCTACCTGGCTGATTTTTTGCTTACTGATTATGATATGCAGCACGCAAGAATCATAGGGTTTTTTCCCTTGACCCGGGTCAAAAAGGTCAGAAGAGTCTTGGCTTTGAAATGTTATTGAAAATGAAACCAATTACCATTAATCGGACGAGCTTGGTGTACAAAGGACGGCAAAAAAGTACAACAGTATAAAGTTTTAGCTGCACGCACGAACCAACGGATGTTCCCCAACGATCCCAACCGCGTATATATATTTTTGTCCCGTTAGCGGTGATGATGCAAGACTGCCACGCGGCACGAAGGTTCTTTCAAGCTACCGGTTTGCAAAAAAATCCTATAAATTAAAATATAAAATCTCTAAGAATTGAATTACCTTATCAATAACGTCGAAAGAATTCAAACGATAAACCACTTAAGTCACACGCGAAATAAAATATAAAACCGACACACACAATTGTTGAATAGGTTGGCGGTAGCTCGCACAATATCTACCTGTTGACTGTCGAGTGAGTTTAAGTACTAAAGTTGCGGATCGGCCTGTAAAGGATATGCACCTGGCCGCGTGGTTCTTTCTCGAGCGACCGACCGACCGCGTCTGAGGTTTCTGCGGAGGCCGTGAGGCCTAAGGAGGACACAAACGGTACGCACGACTCACGATCGCCAGGAGAAAGAAGAACAAGTACGACACCATTGAAAACCTGGCTTTTTCATCGCACGAATACATCTTCCCCCTTCCTACCTTCAGCTCATTTAAACTCTTTACCAGCTCTCCAACCATCCAACCATCCACCTCCACTTACAATTATTTTTTCCCGTAGCTGAGTTTCCCTTCTCTCATCCAGGTATCAGGTATGTTCAACATACTCGATCTTGGAGCTTTGAGTTAAACTCCTTCCCATTCCCATTCTCATTCACCTCCCACTCCAATTCCTAGATTGCTTCCAGCCCCAGGTTAATATTCCATAACGCTCCTGCACATATTTTAACAGCACCAACTTTTAGTTCCTTATTCGGATGCTCCCCCCCCCTTCTACTTTAGAATCACTTTTCCTGGGTAGAACTAAACGCTGGTCGTTAATCGAACCAGGAAGTTTTTGCTCCCGTTTTAGTAGATTTCATAGAAATCTAACTAGCATTCGTCCTCATGACGGAATTTTTGAAAAATTTTGCTATATTTCGATTCAGCTCGTCAAGCGGATTCAGAAAATCCATATGGTTTAAAAGTTTATTTATCTATGTATTTATATATAGGTGATTCTCTGTAAGGACGTCTTAAATGTGGACAAAATTGTCTAACCAAATTATTTTTGATTTTATTAGAAAAAAAATTAACAAGGGCTACAAAACTATCATTTTTCTTTTTTCAAATTGTATCTGAAAGCTCTTTAATTTGAGTACCATATAATATTTTTAGTCTCAAAATTATGTCCTATTCCGCTGTCAATTATGAAAAATAATGCAGTTTTTTTTTTTTTTTTTTTTTTTTTTTATATATACTATCCTAGTAGTTTTTTTCAATTAATTATGAAATCTACTTCCATTTCGGCTGCCGAATAACCTTTTTTTGGTTCAAATTAATTACCTGAGGGAGTTTTTTTTTTATCAACACTACCCAATTAAGAATAACCGCTCGCTGGATTAAAGTTATTACCAAAGACACAAGGCATAAGAAACATACGAATTAAAAATGAATAATCCTCATAATAATAAGAGTTTTTAACGGTAAGAATAATTTTGATGTAGTTATAGATCACACACAGTGAGATCTGTATTAAAAAAGCAGATCTTGATTATGATGATGATGATAATGATAATGATGTAGATGGTAGATGCTGGAAAGAAGGAGAGATCTCGTGCAAGAATCTTTGCCGGAAAGATACGCGGAGAATGACAGTCCGTCATTACGCAGGCGTGCAAGTTATTGCGATGTTGGTGCGCATACAAAGATCGGATTCAAGGTAAAGCCAGGCAGAGAGAGCTTTAAACCTAAAGGAGTGGATGATCCGACGCGGATAAATAATAATTACGGGCGTGCATTCCTATGGAGCACATTGCCACAGCTAGATGTTGGATGTCGCTGTGTTTATTAAGAATCCTATTCAACCAACACTCGGGATAAAAATAAGAGCAGGACGAACCAGGATGGACACTGGATAGTGGATAGTGGTATGACCAGCATATCAACCAACGGGTATCTTTAATGTTGATGCTGCTATCATAAAAAGTGACGGATGAACGACGAGAGAAAATCCATGATCTCTACGCTGTTTGCCATTCGGTTGGACATTTTAGATGAGACAGAGCGTGTCGCGAATCTCTGAAGAGCAAACGAGTCCAGATCATTGCTGATATCGTCATTATTATCATTATTCAATTTATGTGTAACATTTAAAATAATCTTGCATGTATAATAATCAAGCGATATCTAGGCCGTTGAATGTTTTGAAATAGCAATTATTTACCTCATCTGGTATCGTTTATGGCATTCCTGAGAGCTCGCCAACGAGTCCAGTCGAGTTGGGTTAGTTTAATGCTGAGCAGAACGTTTAATACTCTGATAAGAGAAACGAGGGTTATCTTCTGTGATAAAAGAATATAAGCAACTTATTTGCGTGTGAACAACGTGCCCTGTGCTAAGTTACTAAGCTCTTAGGTATTTTTATCAAGCGAATTGTTGAGATACTCATTTTTTGAGATTTTAGTCACGGAGATTAGTCAGGAGTTGTAATCGCCTCTTGTTTGTCACTTGCTATATTCTCACGCAATTTTATCTTTTTATTGCTAAGGTTATTTAAATATAAACAGGTAATTACTGTAAGTGCCCTGGATTAATAAATTTATAGACAAAGTTATCAAAATGTCCTACTAAGTAACTGTTAATGCCTTCCGTGTAAATTAATTTATCATTTTAAATTTTCAGTGATGAAAAAAGTGACCTAATTTAGGATCACTTATCTTTAACTCAAGATATCATTCAGAAAAACTTTTTAAAATATCATTCTTGTTCTTAATTATTTTATCAGTAAACCTGAAAAGGTAAGTTCAACGTATTGGACGTTAAAATCGTTATTTGAACGTCCAAAATGTTAGTTTAACCAATTCAAGCCTATGAAGAGTGAAAATAAGTAATATCAAAACTATTCAGATAACTATGTGCTTTTAAACGGAAGTACGATAATGTTTTTTCAATTCTGCTAGGCAGAATTTCAGTTTTTTGGTTTAAATTCTACCATCCGATAAAAATACTTAGTCTGAATTTTTAACTTGTGGAATGGTTTCCAAAATGTTTTTTTTCGAAGGTATATGGTTGTTTAAGAAGACT